ACCAGCCCTACAAGAAATCTTGAAAGGGGTCCTCTAAGCAAAGACAGAGCTTAAAAGTAGCATAGACCAGAAAGGAACACAGACAAAATACAGTAACAGTCACCTTATAGGCAATACAATGGTACTAAATTTATGTCCTTCAATAGTTACCCTGAATATAAACGGGCTAAATGCCCCCAATCAAAAGACACAGGCTATCAGATTGAATAAAAACACAAGACCATTGATATGCTGTCTGCAAGAGACTCATTTTAGACCCAAAGACACCCCCAGATTGAAAGTGAGGGGGTGGAAAACCATTTACCATGCTGATGGACACCAAAAGAAAGCTGGGGTGGCAATCCTTATATCAGACAAATTAGATTTTAAACCAAAGACTATAATAAGAGATGAGGAATGACACTATATCCTACTTAAAGGGTCTATCCAACAAGAAGATCTAACAATTATAAATATCAATGGCCCTAACATGGGAGCACCAATTATATAAGGCAATTAATAACAAAAGCAAAGAAACACATTAACAACAATGCAATAATAGTGGGGGAGTTTAACACTCCCCTCACTGAAATGGACAGATCATCTAAGCAAAAGATCAACAAGGAAATAAAGACCTTAAATGACACACTGGACCAAATGGACTTCACAGACATATTCAGAACATTCCACCCCAAAGCAACGGAATACACATTCTTCTCTAGTGCCCATGGAACATTCTCCAGAATAGATCACATCCTAGGTCATAAATCAGGTCTCAACCAGTACCAAAAGATTGGGATCATTCCCTGCCTATTTTCAGACCACAATGCTTTGAAACTAGGACTCAATCACAAAAGGAAAGTCAGAAAGAACTCAAATACATGGAGGCTAAAGAGCATCCTACTAAAGAATGAATGGGTCAACCAGGAAATTAAAGAAGAATTTAAAAAATTCATGGAAACCAATGAAAATGAAGACACAACTGTTCAAAATCTTTGGGATGCAGCAAAGGCAGTCCTAAGAGGAAAGTGTATAGCAATACAAACCTTTCTCAAGAAACAAGAAAGGTCTCAAATACACAACCTAACCCTACACCTAAAGGAGCTGGAGCAAGAACAGCAAATAAAGCCTAAACCCGGCAGGAGAAGAGAAATAATAAAGATCAGAGCAGAAATCAATGAAATAGAAACCAAAAGAACAGTAGAACAGATCAACGAAACTAGGAACTGGTTCTTTGAAAGAATTGACAAGATTGATAAACCCCTGGCCAGACTTATCAAAAAGAAAAGAGAAAGGACCCAAATAAAGGAAATCATAAACGAAAGAGGAGAGATCACAAGCAACACCAAAGAAATATAAACAATTATAAGAACATACTATGAGCAACTCTATGACAGCAAATTAGATAATCTGGAAGAAATGGATGCATTCCTAGAGATGTATCAACTACCAAAACTGAACCAGGAAGAAAGAGAAAACCTGAACAGACCTATAACCACTAAGGAAATTGGAGCAGTAATCAAAAATCTCCCAGGGCCAGATGGCTTCCCAGGGGAATTCTACCAAACATTTAAAGAAGAATTAACACCTATTCTTCTGAAACTATTCCAAGAAATAGAAATGGAAGGAAAACTTCCAAACTCATTTTATGAGGCCACCATTACCTTGATCCCCAAACCAGACAAAGACCCCATCCAAAAGGAGAATTACAGACCAATATCCTTGATGAACATAGATGCAAAAATTCTCACCAAAATACTAGCCAATAGGATCCATCAGTCCATTAAAAGGATTATTCACCATGACCAAGTGGGATTTATCCCTGGACTGCAAGGTTGGTTCAACATCCGCAAATCAATCAATGTGATACAATACATTAACAAAAGAAAGAACAAGAACTGTATGATCCTCTCAATAGATCCAGAAAAAGCATTTGACCAAGTACAGCATCCTTTCTTGATCAAAACTCTTCAGAGTATAGGGATAGAGAGTACATACCTCAATATCATAAAAGCCATCTATGAAAAACCCACACCGAATATCATTTTCAATAGGGAAAAACTAAGAGCTTTCCCCCTAAGGTCAGGAACATGGCAGGGATGTCCACTATCACCACTGATATTCAACATAGTATTAGAAGTCCTAGCCACAGCTATCAGACAACAAAAAGAAATAAAAGGCATCCAAATTGGCAAAGAAGAAGTCAAACTCTCACTCTTTGCAGATGATATGATACTTTATGTGGAAAACCCACAAGACTCCACCCCAAAACTGCTAGAACTCATACAGGAATTCAGTAACGTGGCAGGATAGAAAATCAATGCACAGAAATCAGTGGCATTCCTATACACCAACAACAAGACAGAAGAAAGAGAAATTCAGGAGTCGATCCCATGTACAATTGCACCCAAAACCATAACATACCTAGGAATAAATCTAACCAAAGAGGCGAAGAATCTGTACTCAGAAAACTATAAAATATTCATGAAAGAAATTGAGGAAGGCACAAAGAAATGGAAAAATGTTCCATGCTCATGGATCAGAAGAACAAATATTGTGAAGATGTCAATGCTACCTAGAGCAATCTACACATTCAATGCAATCCCTATCAAAATACCATCCGCTTTTTTCAAAGAAATAGAACAAATAATCCTCAAATTTGTATGGAACCAGAAAAGACCCCGCATAGCCAGAGGAATGTTGAAAAAGAAAAGCAAAGCTGGCGGCATCACAATTCCAGACTTCCAGCTCTATTACAAAGCTGTCATCATCAAGACAGTATGGTACTGGCACAAAAACAGACCCATAGATCAATGGAACAGAATAGAGAGCCCAGAAATGGACCCTCAACTCTATGGTCCACTAATCTTCGACAAAGCAGGAAAGAATGTCCAGTGGAAAAAAGACAGTCTCTTCAACAAATGGTGTTGGGAAAATTGGACAGCCACATGCAGAAGAATGAAACTGGACCATTTCCTTACACCACACACTAAAAGAGACTCCAAATGGTTGAAGACCTCAATGTGAGACAGGAGTCCATCAAAATCCTAAAGGAGAACACAGGCATCAACCTCTTCAACCTCAGCCACAGCAACTTCTTCCTAGAAACATCGCCAAAGGCAAGGGAAGCAAGGGCAGAAATGAACTATTGGGACTTCATCAAGATAAAAAGCTTTTGCACAGTAAAAGAAACAGTCAACAAAACCAAAAGACAAGCGACAGAATGGGAGAAGATATTTGCAAATGACATATCAGATAAAGGGCTAGTATCCAAAATCTATAAAGAACTTATCACACTCAACACCCAAAGAACAAATGATCCAATCAAGAAATGGGCAGAAGACATGAACATTTTTCCAAAGAAGACATCCAAAGGCCAACAGACACATGAAAAAGTGCTCAACATCGCTTGGCATCAGGGAAATCCAAATCAAAACCTCAATGAGGTACCACCTCACACCAGTCAGAATGGCTAAAATTAACAAGTCAGGAAACGACAGATGTTGGCGGGGATGCGGAGAAAGGGGAACCCTCCTACATAACATAATGATAAAAAAAAAGGGGAGTGAAGTATAGGCAAGCAATTTATAGAAGAGAGAACTAGAATAGCCAATAACTTACAGAAGGATGTTCAACCTCATTCATAATCAAGAAAATGCAAATTAAAATACAAATTAAGCCTTTTCATACCCAATTGGCAAAAATTTTCAGTCTGACAATACTGAATATCGTTTCTCTAAATTCCCACCAAACATTGCCGATGAGAGTGTAAACTTCTCCAACTACTCTGATGAAGAATCTAGCAATTGCTATTTATACTGAAGATGGGCATATCCCACCAAGCAACCCTGAAGTAGAACTGCACACCTATTTACCCAAGCCAAGATCTTAACTCTCAGTCTTCAGAGCAGATAGGCAGTGCCTCAAGAAGCCACATCCAACAATCCCAGTGTGCCATACAAATGGGCTATGTGTTAAAAAGGTAGTGAAGCACTTCTCTAAAGAATCTCTTATACATGTACTTATGGAGACATGTACAAGAATATCCATGACCACACCTACTGTAATAGTGTAAAACAATCTAAATATCAAATTGGAAAATGGATAAATAATGGTTTTCATAAAATGCAATACTATACAAACAAAAAGAATAATCTAAGATACTTCCATTGGCCTAATAAATCTCAAAAACATAGTATTTTGCGGAAAAAAGCAAGGAATAGAAGAATGCATACTGTTTTATATGCCATTTTCATAAGATTTTAAAAGAAGTTTCAAGGACTGCTAGCTGTCCACTAAAATGCTCTTCCTTCAATAGTAAGAGAATTACAGCTGAGGTGAGTCTTCTCAGCTAGGTATTAAATCCTCCAGGCCTCCTCACAGCTAGTATGCCCATGTGATTAAACTTTTGCCAATGGAAAGTTGGCAACAGTGATGAGTACAAATTAGACCTTGAAAATCTCTGGTCCTAATCTTATAGTCTTGCTCCCTCCCCACCTCCAGCTAAATTCGTTACAAGCAGAGAGAGCTAGTTGGGAAGAAAGCCAGTTACTGAACAGATTCACTCTTCAACCTGGGCCGTCATACAAATCCTTAAGCTGCTGAATTTTAGGAGTTCTTAGTTAGAACATGTTAGTCTATTACTCCCAAAACACACACAGTGCATATTTTTGTGAGTACATATACATTAAATATAAAACCTGTAGAAAGGAATTATAAATCCAAAACAATAGTTACCTCTGAGAAGAAAAAGAAATGAATGATATTAAAGAGACAGAGCCAAGAAGCTTTTAAATATATAGCATTCTATCCTTTAATCAGTGGCATAAAAAATGTTCATTACATTACATTAATCTCTATAGATTTCTGCCTAAAATATTTCATAATAAAGAAGAGAAACTGAATGACTGTGTGGACAGTTATATGTAACATATTTAAACGTAACATTCGCCCTATAACTTCTTTTTTTTTCAACTTATTCTACTTATTATATGCTAAAACATTTCAGGTTTATTACTTACTTTCCTGATCTTTTGGATCACTTCCTTCATACTCAGCTCCCTGGATAAACTGCAAAATATTCTGCTTAAAGAACCTCTGGGCCAGATCCAATACATTTTCTCCATTATCATTGAAGGCTTTTAAAGCTTGTGTTGTACTGTTCATTCTACTGAGTAGGAATTTAAAGCAGTGAAGGTGACCCTCCATGGCTGCTAGGTGAACTATAGGAGAAATAGAAAAAATTTAATTTTTAAACTGATTGTAAAATAACTTGAAGAAAGAAATAACAACATTGGCTCTCATCTTCACAGGAAGATGCCTATCCCCTCCCTATTAACAGGGACATACTCTGAGCATGGTAACACCTTTTTTGCAAGCCCACAAGTCCTTACTCAGCCTTCTAGTCATGCCAAAGCAACAGACTAAATTATTAAAGAGTTATACATACTGTGAATGTACAGATGCCAGAAGAGAGATACCAAAGAGCAGGCCCCAGAATATTTTCTTGAAAAGTGAAATCCCAATTATGCCACTTATAATTACATAAGAAAATACTTGCCATGTAAGACAGATGATAAGTAAACTCATTTTAATGTTTTGGAAAAAAGTGGAAGAAATACACCAAAATAGTCACTATGCAAATATGAATGATATTTTTATCACTATGTATTTTGTCACCTTTCCATAGACATTATTTTTATTAAAAACAGGAAGACTGGATCAAAACGCAGACAAAGCCCACATACTACCTCACCATTTCTATTCTCAATCCTTGAAAATAAAAGATATTTTTTGAAGCCAAAAAAGACTAGAAAAATGAATGAGAACACCAAGAACAAACAACAAATGTTAAGAAACCCCTGAAAGAAAACATACTCAGTCAGACTGAAGGAGAACCACAACCCAAACTCTGCAAAAAATAGGAACAGTTCTGGGGTATTACAAGCTTAGAGGCAGCGATTACAAAGGGAGGCTTTACATCTCTGGAGAAGTGACTATTTGGGAAATAGCCCAATCAATATACAAACCTCACCTCTGGAGAAGTAGGGCAGTGCCTAAGTGACCAGTGTAATGCAGGGAAAACAAGATGTAACAACACCCAAAAGATAAGCTGCTGGCACATGCCACTCTACACTTTCTCAGCTGAACCTCAAAAAACCAAAAAACTCCCCATAAAATTTGAGACTCCTCTAACACCTCATTCATTGTATATACACTTACATGTCTTACAGGCACTGGGAATTTAACATCAAAAACTCAACTTCTCATCCCTCTTGCATACATTTTCCTTACGTAGTTTTCCCCATCTTACTTGATAGGAACTCTCTTTTCCATGGAGTTCATGCCCTGGAGCCATCCTTGACTACTCTCAACACCTCATCAATCAGCAAATCTTACTGATTCTATCTTTAAAGAATGCACAGACCCCAATTACTTCCCACTATCTCTGCTACCTCTGCTCTGCTCCAACCAAATAGCAGCATTAAATTATTGCATCAGGCTCCCAACTGCTATATTTCTCCCCTTGCCATCCTCAATCCTCAATAAACAAAATAGAGAAAATGTTCTTAAATGTAGTCAGATCATGTCACTGCTGTGCTCAAAATCCTTCAATGGCTCCTGTTACCTCTCTGACTTCATTATCTATAACTCACCCTCTCACTTCTGTTCTAACCATACTGACTCACTTTACTACCTGCTTTCAAATACACTCCTGGCTCACGAGCTTTCACTGGCTGTTACCTCTTTCTGAAATACCCTTTCCCCATGATGGTCACAAGACCTGCTCCCTCAACTGCTTCAGGTCTTTACCCAATGATCACCTCCTCCTTGAAGGCTTCCCTGACCACCATATTTTAAACTTCATCCTCTTTAACATTCTACTCCCTTCTCTGATTTTATCCACACATATAACCCTATAATTTATATTCTTTCGATTATTGTCTGTGTCCCCACCACCACCACCACATGAAGGCAGGGATTTTTGTCTGTTTTATTTGGTGTGACAGCCCTAGCACCTAGAAGAGGGAATGACACATAGTAGATGCTCAGGAAATAAATGCTGAATTAGTAATTTAAGATAGAGATTTGAACACAAGTAGTCTAGTACTGAAGTCACATTCTTAACCTCTATATTATACTATTAAAAAATATACTATATATGGTCATAAAAAATTATACATGTTTAAAGAAATAAAAGTCGATTTTTTTTTTTTATGAGCAAGCAGAAAGACTTTTAAAAATGATCAGGCATATTTAATAAAGAACCAAATAAAAAAATTGCCCCCTACCTTGTATTACAGAAAAGTTAGTTCCAGGTGGGCTGGAAACCTAAATGTTAAAGTAAAATAATAAAATTTCTAGAAGATAATATAAAAGAATGTTTCCATGATCAAAGAGTAGGGAAAGACTTTTTTAACAGGATGCAGAAAGACTAACCATAAAGGAAGAGCTTATTAAACTTGACTACATTGCAGTTAAAACTATCATCAAAAGAAATCTGAAAAGAATGAAAAGGCAAGCCATAGAATGTGAAAGATATTTAAATAAAAAAGATATTTGCAACACATATTAGTGACAGAGAGCTTGTATCTAGACTATATAAAGAACCCCTACAATTAATTTTTAAAAAGAGAGAAAAACTCAATAAAAAATAGGCAAAATATTTGAACTGGTACTATAAAAAGAAAATAACCAGGGGCACCTGGCTGGCTGTCAGGAGAGCATGCAACTCTTGATCTCAGGGTTGTGAGTTCAAGCCCCACATTGGGTATAGAGATTAGTTAAAAATAAATATGTTTTTAAAATAAGAAAAAGAACAGTAAACATTTTTTTTAAAAAAGAAAGGAAATGAGATGGCCATTAAATATATGAAATGATGTTCTATAATACTGATCAATAATTATTTTAAATGTAAATAAACTATTAAATACTCCAATCAAAAGACATAGGGTGAGTGAATGGATAAAAAATACAAGATCCATCTAAATGTTGACTATAAGAAACTCATTTCAGACCTAAAGACACATACGGACTGAAAGGAAGGGATGGAAAAAGTTATTTCACACACAAATGGAAGTGGGGGGGAAAAGCTGCAGTAGAAATACTTATATCAGACAAAATAGACTTCAAAATAAAGACCGTATGATAAACAAGGACATTAGAAAATGATAACCAATTGTGCAATAAGAGAATCTAACTGTAAGTATCTATGCACCCAGTATTAGAGCATCTAAATACATAAAGCAAATAGGAAAAGACATAAAAGGGAGAAACTGATAGTAATAAAATAATAGTAGAGGACTTTAAAACCTCATTTAAATCAATGGATAGATCATCCAGGATGAAAATCAATAAAGAAATAGTGGCTTTGAGCAACAGATTAGACCAGATGGACTTAACAGATTACATACAGAATACTCCACCTCAAAACAGCAGAATAATACTCATTGATTTCAAGTGCCATGAAACATTCTCCAGGACAGATCACATTTGGCTACAAATCTCAATAAATTTAAGAGGACGAAATCATATCAAGCAACTTTTCCAACTACAAAAGCATAAAACTAGAAATCAAGCACAAGGGAAAAAAAAAAACAGAAAACAACACAAACATCTGGAGGCTAAACAATAGGCTACTAAACAACCAATGGGTCAACAAAGATATCAAAGAGAAAATTATAATACACATGAAGACAAAAGAAAATGGAAACATAATGGTCCAAAATCTTTGGGGTGCAGCAAAAGCAGTTCTAAGAGGAAAGTTTATAATGATACAGGCCTACCTCAAGAAACAAGAAAAATCTCAAGTAAACAATATAACCTTACACCTAAAGGAACTAAAAAAAGAAGAACAAAGCCCAAGTTGCAGAAGGAAGGAAATAATAAAGATCAAAGAGGAAATGAATGAAAGAGAGACTAAAAAATAACAATTATAATAATAAAAAAAGATTAATGAAACCAAGATCTGGCTCTTTGAATAAACAAAACAAAACTGATAAACCTTTAGCCACACTCATCAAGAAAAAAAGAGAAAGAACTTAAATAAATAAAATCAGAAATTAAATGGGAAAAGGGGCACCTGGCTAGCTCAGTTGGTAGAGCACTTGACTCTTGATCTCGGGATTATGAGTTTGAGCCCCACATTCAGTGTAGAGATTACTTAAAAATTTTAAAAAATCTTTTAAAAAATGAAAGAGAGAAGTAACAACTGTCACCACATATACAAAGAATTATAAGAGACTATGAAAAATCATATGTCAACAAATTGGAGAACCCAGGAAAAAAAAGGATAAATTCCTAGAAATATAAAATCTTCCAAAACTGAATCAGGAAGAAATAAAAAAATTTGAACACACTATTTACTAAAATTGAACTGGTAATCAAAAACTCCCAACAAACAAATGTCCCAGATCAGATGGATTTACAAGAAAATTCTACCAAAGATTTAAGGAAGAGTTAATACCTATTCTCCTCAAAATATTCCAGAAAATAAGAGAAGGAGGAAAACCTCCAAATTTATTCTTGGAGGCCAGCATTATCCTGATAGCAAAAACAAAGACACTACAAAAAAAAAAAAAACTACAGGCCCATATCTCTGATAAACCTAGACACAAAAATTCTCAACAAAATATTAGCAAACTGAATTCAACAATTCATTGAAAAGCTCACTCACGCAGGAAAACATGGCAGAGGAGTAGGGGACCCTATTCTAACTGGTCCCTGGAACTGAGCTGGATATCTACCATACCACTCTGAACACCCACGAAATCAGCCTGAGCTGTAAGAAGATAGATTTGGATCTCTACAAACAGAATATTGCAGGCGGTTGATTTCAAGGTATGAAGCGGGAAGCCGTGACTCCACTGGCAGATATCGGCAGATAAACGGAAGGGGGAGGGAGCTGCCATTAGCACTGGTGCCGGGAAGGTGAAATAACACAGGAGTGCAAAATCCTCCCCCGCTGGGGACGGGGCACAGACTTGCAGACTGGTAGCAACAGGGAAAGGACTTTAGGGCAGCTCCCCGGACTGAAACCTAGAGCATGGGGGCGACGCATGAGAACTGGGGGCAGCTGGCAGTTTTAGAAGCACAAAGGACAGAGACATGCCCCCACCTGGAGGCGAGGACTGGGAGCCCTGCTGAGGGGCACACAACCCAGGATGCAGCAGTTTATAGCAGCACAGACAGAAATGGACATAGTGTGGCCTGGAGAGCTGAC